AGATAGCAATGAGACAGTTTCAAATCAAATCGAAAGTACAGTTTCAACAGATAACACACTGCATATATTCTTCTTAGTGGTTAATTGCTGTACAAGATGAGGACTTGTGATCCTATTTACAAATACCATTAGAACAAATCATTTTATTCATTAAGAGAATGCAACTATATATCTATCCTAACCACTTTGAATACACAGATACAAAATGGACATTCATCGTGGTCTAGCTTTTGTATTTTATTTTAAATTTACTTTCATATGAACAAGGCCAATTTATTACCCTTTAAATAGTGGAACTTGTGCTGTGGAGACCCAATTAGGAAGAAACTGACAATGAAGCACTTTTACATAGGTGAAGCCAGTATGAGATTTACTTCACATAGAAAAAAATAAACTGTGGGGACCTCATTAAGAAGAAACAAGTGATGAGTCTATGAAGAACCAAATGGATTTAGTTTTATATTATTTCTAAATTTTCCATTCATTTTACACTTTCTCCAATATAGCTGAAAAATAAAAACAATAAGACATTTTTAAAACAACTACCAAAAACAAACAAACTAACAGCTACTTATTTGTCAATCTTTTTTTTTCCCCGGGGAACCGGGGATTGAACTCAGGTCCTTGCACTTGCCAGGGAAACACTTATTCTACAGAGCCATCTCCCCAGGCCCTGTCAATCTGATTTTAATGTATGAAAATGTTAGGATTTGCTTTTGGAAAAAGCCACTCAAGAAGCCAGGGAGATGGCTCAGTGGAATAAGCGCTTCCCTGGCAAGCGCGAGGGCCTGAGTTCAATCCCCAGTTCTGCCAAAAAAAAAAAAAAAAAGCCACTCAACATCAACTGAAAATTCTTAATACAAAAAAGACACAAACTTTAGGGGAAAATTTATCTTTAAAAGATAGTGAAAGGTTCAAGAGTTTACTGGTTCACAAAGCTGGGATATACTTGTCTCATTCAGGTTTCACTCTTATTTTTCCCAAACAAGCGATATATATCTACAGCATGATATCATTTCAAGCAAAAAAAATTTCAGAATATTTTAAGCCCACATCATAACTATTACTCACTTCTTCATAACACCGTAAGAAACTATTACAGGCTCTTGACAGCTGCGAAAATTGTTATTACAAAGGTAATCTGCCTCAAGTCGAGTCACTGGCAACAAATACAAGTTCTACTCAACTCCTTTCACGTTCTCTGAATTTTCTTTCCTATTGCCATTAGCAAAACAATCTGATGCTATACAAGTAAAAGTAACTGTTTTTATCAGCGTAAAAAAATCCTTCCTTCCCAGGATTCAAGAATTAACCACGTCCAACGATAACCGTGCTCCATAAGCTCCTCCCTTACCCCAATTCCTTCCGCTGCTGAAAAATTTTCTTCCTGAAATTGTAGCTATTTCTCCTCCTCTTCTCCTTAAACAGACTCTCTTCACTATCCTGGTTTTGTGGTGACAGCAGCTTCCTGGCCTTCCCAGTCAGTCTCCGGCTCTGGAATCGGCCGGCACTCTCCTCAAAAGTCCCACCCGCCGCGGTGGCACCAGTCCCAGGCCTGCACGCTCTCCTCCCCGCCACCGCCTCAGCCGCCCACCCCCCCGCCGAGCTCCCGCTCACCTCGGCACCCGAAAGGAAGGGGTGCGAGGGTCCTGTGATCGTCAGGTAATTGTCGTTTCCTCCGGGAAACTGGAAACCAAAAGAAAGCCGCGGGGGTAAGTTCGGGGGAGCAGGAGTCAGCTTGGAGCGGTGAATTCTCGACCCCGACCGTCTGATACCAACCCCCAAACCCCGCTCTCTCGCCCTTCCGGTCATCCGCCTCTCCGCCCAGCTTCCTGCCTCTGCTCCAACCCAGTCGGCAGCGCTCTGCCGCCGGCCTTCTCAGCGCCCGAATTCCTACCTCCATCTTCAAAAAATCGCTACCTCGCCTCAGCCCTCTCTCGGCTCCCAACGCCCCCGCAGGACTCGTAGCGCGTCACTTCCGCAAGGACGCGCGTCGCTCTCCGCTGATTGGAAGGAAACTGCGCTGAGTCAACCAACCAAGCGCGAGCGGCAAAAAAGCTAGCTGTCGCCCCCTGGAGCTTGGGGGGATAATGGCATGTAGACATGCCAGAGGGGTCCCTAGAGGCGATGTCCGGGTACTCCTGATGGAGTTCTGGGAAGTGCAATAGAGACGTGGATTGGGCTAGAGAGGCCCGGAGGTGGGGGAGGGTAAATAAAATCGGTCGCCTGAGTGGCTAGAGAGGTCGGAGGTAAGTGGCTGTAGAAGTCGGGCGGACCCGGAATACGGAGGAATCAGGACCATGACGTACTCCTATTTATTCAAATACATAATTATTGGAGACACAGGTAACCCGCCGGTGTACCGCTTTCAAGGCTGGGGCGGGGACCTGAAGCTCCCAAATCGGGCCTCGGGGGCGGGGCTCACTTAGTGGGTTGGCCGTTTGGGGGAAAGCGGGCGGGGGCGGGGCGGCCAGCCAGGGGCGGGGCTCCGGCTCCCCTGCCCGGTCCTAGACGCCGGGAGGGCTGGAGCGAGGGAGCTCCGAGGTAGTTCCCTCTGGCGACGCAAATCGTTCTCCTTCAGGAGTGGGGAAGTCGTGTCTCCTCCTGCAGTTTACGGACAAGCGGTTCCAGCCCGTGCATGACCTCACAATAGGTAAGTATCTCTCTCAGAACAGATAAATCTGTTAACGTTTGCCGCCTTCAGTGTTTGAAAAGGCACCTTCCTCGCTACTTTCAACTGGTGCGGGGTTATGGTTTATGAAGTGACTAATCAAACGTTAATAGTAAGTATGTGACTGAAAGGTAACGTTGGAGATGAATGTTAGGTAAGGACTAGTTGCCTTACGATGATGTTTTCCTTCAAATGTAGTTGGTATGTTTATAGAGACCCCCAAAATAGCGTGACTGTAGTTGGTATGTTTATAGAGACCCCCAAAATAGCTATCACCTACTGTAGTCGTTTACTGATAAAAATCTTAAAAAGTTAAAAGCAGCATACCTGCTTATTGAAAAACTTATCTATGATTTGCCGTAATTCATAGTAAATTCAGTTTGGGGTGGTTTTTTTTTTTTGGTGGAACCAGGGATTGAACTCAGGCCCCTGCGCTTGCCAAGCAAGCACTTATTCCATTGAGCCATGTCCCCGGCCCCATTAATTTCACTTTTTAAGTGTTTTTTAAAGTAAGCCCTGATACATGGACGTTTTTTCGCGTTGGAGAAGCAGTGGCAAATTGATGGGCCATCCCAGCCTTGCATGAAAAGACGAATGAATCTAGTAACTAACTTTTAATAAAACAAAGAACTCTGTCTAGCATATCTTCTTTATGGCAGAGTAGTACTCCATTGTATATAAAGAAGTACACAAACCTTATCCATTCACCAGTTGATGAATGCTCTTGACTACAGCACTGAGGTTGTTTCCAAGATTTGGCTGTTACAGCCAGGAGTGGTGATGCATGCCTGTAATCCCAGCATTTGGAATGGATGCTGAGGCAGGAGGATTGCTGTGAGCTTGAGGCCAACCTGGGCTACATAGTGAGTTCAAGGCCAGTCTGAATTACACAGCAAGACCTTGTCTCAAAAAGAAGGAAAGAAAGAGTCCCCCGCTCAAAAAAAAAAAAAGATTTGGCTATTACAAACTGTGCTGCCACAAACATGGGTGTGCATATGTCACTATAGTATGATACTTTTAATTGTTTTGGGACGTTACACAGGAGGACAATGGGTCAAACAGGAGGACAATGTCTGGGTCAAACTCTCAAGACATTTCTAGGACAGTGGATGTAATTTGAGCCCATACTCTTAAGACACATGTGAATACTGTATTGTTTCTTTAGTGTGAGAAATCAAAAGTGTAAATAAAGACCAAATGTATTTTTCAGTAGGAGGAAAACGTTCAAACAGGGAAGGGAAAGGAAAGAAGGGAAAAATTTTTTAAAAATAGAGAAAAGGAGGAAAATTGTTGTTGTTTTTTGATCTTTTGAGACAGGGACTCGCTATGCAGTTTAGGCTGATTTTGAGTTCACTTCGTAGCCTAGGCTGGTCTCCAACTTGCAAGGATCCTCCTGCCTCAGCCTGCTGAGTGCTGGGATTACAGGCATGCACCACCATACCCAACCTCAAAGCTCTGTAAATGGGAAAGGGAGGAGGAGTTTAAAGAGGTGAGGGAATGGAGAAAAATAAGTTATATCATGTACTGATATAAGTTCTCCATGATAAATGTGATCATAATGTGTACCTAAAAGATAAAATCTTTGTTAGAAAATAAAATAAAATAAAATCTAATTGGTGGGCATACAAAAAGATTAAGAAGGTAGCAGCAACCATAAAATAGTTTTAAAATGAGTATGAAGAATGATACAGGTCCCACATGCTGCCCTGGCCCCACCCCTGGGTGACAAATCGGGGGATGGTGGCACAGGCCTCTATTCCCAGTGCTGGGGGTGCTGAAAACAGGAGGATCACTACGAATCTGAGCTGTGTACTGAGACCCTCTACCAAATACATAAAGTTAAAAAAAAAAAAAAAAAAAGGTACAATGATTAACAAGACAAGGTTGTACCTCCCCTTAAGAGAGCTTGTACTCTTCCAATGAAGGAGGTAGGGCTGGGGGTAGATGCTAACTAGAAAGTATGAAAGGAAAGGAGATGCCACTTCTATCAGGAAAGTCTGACAAGAGTGAGCAGGAGTTAGGTTAAGGGTTATCATGATGAGGGGAAATGATTAGGGCAAGAGAGAATGAAAGCATGGGCAACAGCTAAGCAAGTTCCTATGTCTTCTCCACCACCTTAGACCCACCTCACCACATGGTTTTCCTCTATAAAAGTCCCTGCAAGAGACAACTTCCTGCAGAGGGAGGGTGGGGGGGCTCCTGTCCCCCGGTCCCTCTCTCAGGACAGGAGCTTTCTTTCTCTCAATAAATATATTCGGCTCATAAACAAAACAAAAAAAAAAAAGAAAGAAAGCATGGGCAAAGGCTCAGAGATGGCAGAGAGCAGGCTACTTTTGGAAAACAAAGACATTTAATATGGCTAGAACATGGAGTTTTAAATGAAGAATAGTTGAAAACTAGACCAAAAAAAAAGTAAAGTTACAGGCTCTTAAATACCTTAGGGAAGTCGGAGCAAATAACAAATTCTGAGGTGAAGACATGCAATGATCAATCAAATTCACCTCAGAGCCCAATAGAGTCTATTTCTTTGTGAGTTGAGTTCACACAAACAAAGCAGGTAGGTAAAAAATACATAGAAAATGTAAGGGTCTCTGAATGTATCAGAGAAAATTTCATTGAAAAAAACAAATGTTTTATTTCTTATACATTGAAATTCCATTCCTGTTGCCTGTGAGGGGGAAAAAAAGACTTTTCAGCTTTCCTTATACTATTTGATACTTGAAGCATTTACAGTGATAAGCAGCTTTTACATCTTTCCTCTTGACTACAGCACCTTAAAGATAAGGTATTCCCCATACATTGTGTATATATGTGTAGAGTCACCAAATAGGTGTGTATTAGCCCTTCAGACAAGGTAAATGTGTTTTGTTTTGTTTTTTGGTGTTTTTTTCTTTTTTGCAGAGCTGGAGATTGAACTTAGGCCCTTGTGCTTGTGCTTGCCAGGCAAGCGCTTACTCAACTAAGCCCCCCAAGGTAGATGAGTGATCTTCATCACACAGATTCTTCATGCTACTTGCAAAGTACTGTATGAAAATAGCAAGTAGGATAAATTCTCTGACTTTTCCAGTGTTTTTAATGTTAGTAACTGTTTCAGTTACTCTTCTCTCATTGCTGGGACAAAATAAGAATTAAGGAAGGAAAGGTTTATTTAGCTCATAGTAAGTGGAGTTTTCAGTCCATACTCAGCTAGCTCCAAGGCAGAATGGCACCTGGTGGAGGGCAGCTGTTTATGGTGGCAGAAGACAGCAAAGAGCCAAGGGAAGAGCAGCAGCTGAGGCAGCTAGCAAGCCTCTCCCCTCCTCACATTTGTATGCAGATTATCTGCCCCACGCGGGTGTAGTACTCACCCATAATCCCAGCATTGGATCAAGAATTAATCACAAACACTAGGAGCCACCCCATCAGGCTTTGGGGGGATGAGACAAAAACCATAACATTTAGTAACTATTTAGGTTTAGTCTGACATTACTTTGGTAGAAGATTGCCTATTTCCATACATTATGAGGGTGGCTATTTTCCAGTAAACTCTGGGAATTATTGGTGATCTGGAATGTGTAGTTTTCAGGACTTATTTTCTCTCTTGTTTTTTATTTTCGCTTTTTTTGTTTCAGGGGAGATGATTGAGACAAGTCTTTACTACATAGTTCAGGTTGGGCTGGAACTTACTGCATAGCCCAGGCTGGCCTCAAACTCATGGCAGTCCTCCTGCCTCAGCCTCCCAAGTACTAGAATTACAGATGTGGGCCGCCATGCCAGCCTTTTTTCTTTTTCTTTTAATGGTGCTGGGGATTTAACCCAGAGCCTTGCCCAAAATAGACAAGCACTGTACCACTGAACTACAGCCTTAAGACCATAAATGTTTTTAAGATCATCATTTTTAAACTAGAATATAAATGAAGAAATATAAAGGACACAAAATCAATTGCAGCAATAATGGGCCTAGTGTGACTGAGTACTGATATTAAAACACACTGAGGAAAAGCATAACCTTTCCACTCCACATCTGCTCATGAGAATCACAACCTTTCTCTTGCCCTCCACTGACAGGTGTAGAGTTTGGAGCCCGTATGGTCAACATTGATGGAAAACAGATCAAATTACAAATTTGGGATACGGTAAGAGATAACAAAACAATTGATTTCTAGACAGATATCAAAATATAATGACAGCTGGTGTAGGGTGGTACTGTTGGTGCAGAAGAAGTAGAGGAAGAGTGAGATCGATAATGTGGGGAAGCTTTGATGCCATCTATTACTTTTTTTTTTTTTTTTTTGGTGGTACTGGGGATTGAATTCAAGACCCTGGGCTTGCCAGGCAGGCACTTATTCTACTGAGCTACCTTCCTGGCCCATGCCACCTGTTACAAATTCTGAACTCCACAGCTTTATTTTTAAATAATCTGAGTAATTACTAATTTATAGTAAAAAAAAATAAATAAAAACAGTACGTTTGTAGAATATAAAGTAAATGTCTCTTTATACACATAAATTTTTCTCTCCCAGCCTTAGTTGCTATTCTACCAGAGCAATCCACTATTAATGATTGTGTATGTATTTCTATCTAGGGATAGAACCTAGGACTTTTGAACTGAGCTATAATTCACAAACATGCTTTTATCTTTTATTTTGAGGCAGGGTCTTCCAAAGTCACTAACTTGCCAGGCTGGGCTCAAACTTCCCAACCTGTGTCTCAACTTCCCAGAATGCTGGCATTGTGGGCATATGACACCATGTTTGGTGTGGTTTTATTTTTTTGTATTTGTATGTGTGAAATTGACAGAGTAATCCTAGCTGTGCTTTTTAGTAACAATCTATATTTTGGGGATTTTTCTATATTAGTGCACTTAGATCTACCTCATTCTTCTCACTACTACATAGCTGTAGAATAAACTATATATTTATTTAGCTAGACTCCCCTTAATGGAAATTTAGGTTGTTTCTGACCTTTCACTATTATAAGGCATCATTGAACATTGTTATTTACTATGTCTTTATAGAAATGCTAGAGAATTTTTATGTAATAGTTGCCCAGAAATGGAAATTCTAGGTCAGAGGTTGTATGCATTTTAAAATTTAGTAAATGTAATACTGCCAAAGCTTCACTCAACTTACTACAATTTTGCTTCATCCAAGTAAATTGTTTTCACTGCATTGTCTCATTTGATTTGTGCTATTTTTGCATCTAAGGCAAATATCTTAGTTTCTATTTTGGCTCAAAGGAGCTAACAAGGCCGGGGAGATGGCTCAATAGAATAATTGCTTGCCTGGCAAGCACAAGGGCCTGAGTTCAATCCCTGGTTCCGCAAAAAAAAAAAAAGGGGGGGGGCTAACAAATAGTTCTTACTTTTTTGTTAAAAATCTTTTGTTTTCCTTCCTTAGTTCTTACTGGTTTTGTTTTGTTTTGTTTTGTTTTTCTCAAAACTGAGATCTGAAGCCATTTTATCTACAAGAAGTTCACAAACTTTTCTTTTTCTCCTCATTCATCTCACGTGTTCTGCCCCCACTGCTCTCACCACACATGAATGGATAGCACTTTCCTGGGTTTTAGATGAGCTTACTAATTGGATGTTTTTTACTAGCATGGTATATATATATACCATGCTAGTAATATATATATTTATATATATATAT